CCCATCTCTTACTCTCCCCCCCCCCCCCCCCCCCCCCCCCCCCAAATGGTCCTTACTCTGTCCGCTTCGAAAGTGAGATCTGGGTCACTATACTATGGAAGCCACATGCCCTGGACATTCACTTCAGAATGGGGCATCCCAGGGGAATACCCGTAGCAAAGCTAGTGCATGAGATATATATTATGAATCTAGGCCGAGGGCGTGTATAATCCATGACAAGGCGTTGTGGCAAGGGTGAGCTGCAGGCAAGGTAGCATCGTTCAACACACAAGAGTCTTCAACCGACGTCGCCAAGACTGATCTTTAGAAACGGCTCTCTGCAGCCAACGACAGGGCCCAGAAGAGTGTGGAGGTTGCAGCACCATTGCAAAGTGTGAAGTCCAGTTCGAATCCAGAAATGCGAGGCTGGATGCAACCCAACTCGTTTCCCAAAAGTGGCAATAGCTTCCTTTTGGTCCTCTCCACACCACTTCCACAAGGCGGGCATAAGACGTCGGAAAGGGTGTTTTGGATCCATTCCTTTGTCCCGGGAACAATATAGGGGCCGAGCTATGCGATAATCCCAACAGTCTCCAACTCAAAGACCGACTGGAGGCGGTCTAGGCATGGCTATGTCTACTACCCGAGGTCACATGTTGCGTGCTAAATATCCGTTGGCCCTCAAATTGCAAGCTGAGGCGAAGTCGGAGCAGGCGTCGCAACAATAAAGGCGGAAGGCGCCGTGGAACACACACACCCTTGGCCCGAGATGCTCGCCACTGGCGGTGACGTGCACGTAGGCTCTACCACCCACGACTTAATGGTTGTTGTTGGCTGATGGACCTTGAGCGTGTGAGCCTTGACTAAGACCGGAATCGCCTGGCCAGTTGAGAGGCTGAATGGTTTGTGGCGTAGGACCTCAAGGTTCACTTTGATCTGTCCCGAATGCGTCGTAATGCTGATCCAGGTACTGTCGTCACTGGTGAATATATCATCCATAGCGTTCTTGATACGGCGGAACTCGGCTTCGGCTGTCTCGCCCTCGTCGCCTCTCCAAAGTTCGTCATTCTCCGTGAAGCCATCTCCGAATCTGAAGTTTGGCAGGAGTGAGGCAATGTACGTCTTGTTAGACCGCAGGTCACAAGTACGCATTGAAATTCCCTCGCGCAGCAGCTCCTTGATAGTCGGCGTAAACGGGCGGTCCTCGGGCAGATCAAGACCGCCGAATGTCAGGTTCGCCGTAGTAGCGGACCGGATCAAAGGGCTGCTATAGTACGTCTGTGGTGCCGGTATCTTCTCCACTACGAGCGCGTGTTTCCAAAACTCGTGGGACTTAGTACATTGCGCTAGGCCGGCCTCGCTCAGACGTGCGTCTCTCCAGACGTATGTGCCGTTTCCTTCGAGAGGGCCCCAGTAACACTGCGTAAGAATTAACACCGGGGGGATGCAGGAATCAGGCAAGCCGGGGATGGCCTTACATTCCACGCGGGGGTCCCATAGTAGCTCTCGGCGATGTTGTGGTAACCCTCGCCATGGCGTGCTAGAAACAGCACCTTATACTGAGTGTCCTTTCCGGCTTTTGCGTTCAGCGTCTCTACATAGTGCTCGAAACGCTGCCATTGTGTCTTGTTCCTGTGCGGATCAAACTTGCCGTCTGTTGAATATGGCCTGTTAATCAGGCCGAAGTTGCGCAAAGTCTAAAGTCAGGTCAGTCCTTCCGATGTTTTAGTATGGCCCCCCTATCTATGTAGGTTCCTTAGCCAAAAGACTAGGGTTACTAGGCGTGGGAAATAGATGGCAGTGGAATTGGATGGCGGTACATAATCAAACGTATCAGGGTCTGTATGTGGATTATCTTGTAGAAAGAAGCCGGGAATTGTCGAGTATTCGACCGACGGCTTAGATATGTGGCATGGTGGCCGTCGGGTGTGACCATCGCTTCCTCGGTAGGCTACCTCGGAAGCTAGCACGGCCTCGCTCAGTGAAAGCAGCCCAATGAATAACCTGGAGAACATTTTGCAATGACGGTGGCAACAATACTTACACCAGCAGCGAGTCTGTGCAGCAATTGGAGTCTTGTTTATTTATCATGATTGTTCTGTCATCCATTCCAACATAGACCCGTTGACCGATTGCTAACCACCTGCCGCTTGTAGGTAGATGGCAACCTGTCACCCCTGTAAGACTAATTACGAGAAGGAGGCTGCTAATCTCTTAGTCATAGTAGGTTTGTTAGGTAGACCAAAACATGCAGGCAAATATCCCCAACCCCAACCCCAATCCCAATCCCAACCTCCCAAACCAACTATAACCTAGGTTACCGACTATTTGAACGTCCGGCGCAGCTTAAAGACACTTATAGATATACTAGGTAACTCACCTTGGCCTACATTCACAGAAGTACACATATTTGCGTTTGGTCTACTGCATATGCTAGTGCCTATGTACCAACTACACATATTACATTCCTATAACATGCTCCAGGCCAAAACCAAAGATAACATCACCACCTAGAAAAGACGGCCACTTGCCTTGATCACTTAGGCGTAGCTGGTCGTACACTAAAGCGTGAAGATGGCAAGATGGCCGAGTGGTTATGGCGGTGGTCTCAAGTAACAAAAATTCGTACAAAGAATTTCCACTTGCGCTAGTAAATAGTGATGTTTGCCACTGGAGCAATCCGCAGGGGTTCGAATCCCCTTCTTGTCAAGACTCCTTAACCTTTTGCTTTTCTTTATTTGATTGAGCTGGAAGACGACAAGTACTACAGGTCAGGTCAAGTTATGATGCAGAATTAATGGGTGTAAAGAGAGCTTCTACCAATTCTGGAATCTGGCTCCTAGTATGATGGTGGCGTGAGTTTGTCCAAGGATACCAACCAGGCAGGTTTGGCATAACCAATAGAAAAGAATCCATACAAACTTTTTGCATGGACTGAACCTGTTCCGGTTTACACCAGGAGAGAATATACAGGTTTAACTTACAAGTAGAGATTTTCAAAACCTACTTTAGGTATCCCGTGGACAGGCTGCTCATGTCTATACGTGTATAAGTACAAGTAAAGCTAGGGTGCTAGGTTAAGGTAAGTAAGTAATAATACCTGTTTAAATGCATAACGCGTTCCTATCGTGTGTATATAGATGAGGTAGTGCTTATGTACTGTATAGACCTATATATTCAGGTACCAGAGGTTCCGGTGCATAGTTACTTCTAGAAAGGGTAAGATAGAACACTCTTTTAGTGGGCAAACTTACCAGTTTTACCAGTCAATGTCATGAACTTCAAAGCCCCTTGCCATTGAATTACCCCGCCAGTAAATGCATCATGCCTTTCCCCTACAAAGTGGGGTTGTTATGATAAAAATGCCCCTCTATCTAGACTAAAGACTTGATCGATCATACCTACTCGTACTACTTGCAGCCTTACTTCTTCTGCGTTGCTGGCACAACAAAAAATAAACCCTCACTACATCAAGCCCCTCTCCCTTCCTTACACTTGCTCCCTGGTGTCTAACAAAGGATCACTTGCGCCTAACATCCCACACAATGGATAGTGAGTACATGTCGCAGCAGTTGGTGACTTTGGAGATGTTGGTACTAACGCACCATACGTGCGACAGGCCTTGCGCCCGAGGAGATTGCAGGTAATACTCTCCATTTTCACGTTGCGCTGCCTTTAAGAACCACTGTGTCTCTGTGATAAATTGTTCCTCAAACCAACCTCTTCTGACTGAGAAATAATGCAGCCCAGTTTGCGGCCAAGTACTATGCCGACTTCCAGTCAGACCGACAAGCTTTCGTGCAATATTTCTACGTATGCGGCCTGCCTACCAAAACAACATCTCCAGACTTTATTGCCATCTGAGCTGACCCGATGCCTAGCGAGAGCACTCGACCTTGACCTTTGAGTCAAACACGATCCAAGGAGTCAACGCTATCGGACAGAAGTGGACTGTAGGATACTACGACAGCACATCTCCTATCGTTACCCAAGTTGAGGAGCTGATGTATAAGCGTAGGAGGATTTCCTGAAGAGTGCCAAGCACCAGATCACTACCACCAACGCCCAGAGAGTGCCGGGCGGCTTCGTCATCGTCCTCGTTACCGGTCTCATCCAGGTAAGAATCCCTGACGCTGCACTGAAATACCGCTCGACACGCTTCCTGACCACATTGTTCGATCAGCTCACCGAGGGCGATGCGCCCATGAACTTCACCCAGTCCTTTCTCATCTCCATGGACGAGAAGGGTGTCTTCTGTAACAATGACCTTTTCAAGCTTGTGTACGGCTAAAGTCTACGACCTATTACACGTCTCGAGATCAAGTTCAAAGGACAGGTCTATAGTGGAGGTACAGGGCATTTAATGGCAGAGGCCGCTTTCCTTGCTAGGACACCTCTTCAATATGGACGCCAGATGGAAATGAACTATCCATAGTCCAAGCTGGAACGAAAGATGGCGGACACACAGCTATACACCGCAGGGTGGGTTTTTTTCCTTAGATCGTGCAAACTAGCCAACAAACCCACGCGACACAGAAAGTGCCTAAACTAGATGTTCTGAAATTTCTCGCCAGAATAACAACGCAAGTATTCAGCAGAATATGCTATGCTGTCTTTTGTATTGGAAGATTTGTTGAGCCATTCTATTAGATATAGACACATGTAGGTATCGCCCCTTCAATCTTCAGCGCCCTTGATCGGCCACATATGACAGCCGGGTAGAGAAATAGCATGCGGTCATCTTCCGGAAGTGTGCCGATCAAGGATCTGATCGCCTATTGCAGGGGCCCATCGCTACCGTCATATAAGATAAGTACATGGCATAGCGGGCATAGTAGGAGCAAGAGGGAGTGGTAGGTAAAGAAAAGTCACAGCCACACCGCTATAAAAGCGTACTTGGTCTGAAGAATGTGTCGCGACTTTACTTTACTCTCATTGAACATTGGTCAAGTTAATCCTACTTATACGTGTTGGGAAACAAATCTCTTAACGCCACACACGGCCATTTGTTACTATCTATGTCAAGCGCTAGTAGCTAGAATCCGAAGGGAAATCTGGTAGATCCAGAGACCGTTGCAAGCTATACGAGACGGGCAAGCAAAATTTAGCTGAGATCGAAACCCGCCCCTGACTGTACGGCGTACAAGAGCTTGGCCCTTAGGGTCTCGGCTGTCTTATATACCGGGAGCTTGAGCAGATTGACACAGGTGCTAGTGCTAGGTAGTCTCTCCTCGTCGGTCCCGCCATCTCGGATGCTGAACCGAGGCTTCAGCTGCGAGAACCCTAGGAGCGGCGCTCTCGGCGTCGACGTGACGTACTTGAGCACATCTCGCCGCTCCGAGTCCTTTAGACTTCTCATGACCTCCCAAAAGTGAACAATCGTGGGATGCTCCTGGCCGTCGTCTCCTATGACATAGAGGCCGGAATAGGCTGTGTTCTGCCTGAGGTCCTCTACGTCTATCTCGGAGCTATCCCCGCCGATTAGGCGTTGGAGTTCGGATTGGTTGAACATAGATAGCCACGACGGGTTGATGATGGTGCCTAGACCACTGAGGAAAGCTTTCGTCTGTCTGTACTGTTGTGCGACGAGCCTGTGGTTTGCGACGTACGATATATAGAGGGGCCGGTCTTTATTCGTGACCGGAATATTAGCGCCGTCCTTCCTCAGTGGCCGGATGATATGGCGTTGTCCACCTGTCTCATCCCGCACAGAATCCGCAATGGTGAAGTCTACACTCAAATCTGCAACATCGCCAGGATAATTTTTTAGGTCCATCAGACCTTTGTAGAGCTCGGGGTCAAGGTCCCGTAGGTCGTTCAGGTTCGCTCGGTAGTCTGCCCCGGTGCTTTGACCAGTCGAAGCCCACTTGAGGAGGAAAAAGCCGGCAAAGGCAATGTCGATGAGAATCCCCTCGTACATGCATTTCCCGACAATACGGCCCAAAAACTCATAGCGCTTCAAAACGTCGTTTATGGCCGTCTTCCACTCGATGGTGCCTTCCGCCACCCCACGCATGCGCAACTCGGCCGCCAGGTCATCGAAGATGGAAGGGTTGGGGTAAAGCAGATTCTGGTTGTTCGACACGAAGAAGACCCTGTTATCGCTGCGTTCGGGGCTGAAAGCATCGTTGGTGGCGCTTAGGAGGAATTCTTTCGTCACACCTCCCCCGTCAATCCCGGCCTCGAGCTGCTGAAACTGATCGACAAAGGTAATGTGGATAGGCTCTTTGAGGCCCTCGCCTAGGGAGTAAAACTTATTAAAGGCGTCTTCAAAGACCCTCCCGCGTGCGACCGTAGCAGCATGACGACCGAGAAAGTGTCGCCTCTGAGAATTTTGTGTAAAGCCTTCACCCGACAACATAGCGATCCGCCATTGGTCGGGGTCAACATGTCCGCCTCGTCGTTTGGTCTGATCCAAGTGGACGAACTGACGAAAAATCTGAACCCTAACCTCGAACGGAATGGCAAAAGGCATATTGCGTAGGACCTCCAGCTTGGGCCCCGTCGTGCTCCGGAGACTCTCTGCACGGAGCGCTCTTTTTCGCCGATGATCTACCGGCGGCCAGTCCCGCCCAAACCGGTGGAACGACGTAGAAGAACGGTCCCCGGATTCTTCTTCTTCCTCCGTGTCCTCGTCGTCGGATTCGATATTCCGTATTTCTTCCATTACAACAGCCGAGATAAAGACGCCCATGTCGAAGTTGGCGGTCATCAGCCAGAAGTCCTTGGGAAGGAACGGCCGCCGGGAATCCCTCTCGTACAGAGCACGCATGACCGACGACACCACGGCTCTGAGGCCTAATAAATCCATATCGATAATACCGGCAAATGAGGTCGGCGTATGTTGTGCTTGGCGAGAACCGAGCCTTGAGGAGCTGATACCTGACGTGGTATCTGAGCGCATAGGGTCTAGGACCGACAGTAGCATGTCGGGTAAGTTGTAATAAAGGGTAAATGCGAGGGTCTTCAAAAAGCTGACGAGAAGTTCGAGATCGTTTAGGGCGAGGCCACTATTGCGAATTCTCTTTGTCACCTGACTTTGCTGCAACGTGATATGTGATTCACGGGGAAGGAAGTCCTCATCATCCGTGACCCGGAGGAGGAAATTATATAGTTCCAGGAAGAGCAGGAGCGTACGCCACTCTAGATCGTGCACAGGATCCTGTTGCAGAAGCGCCGCTACAGAGGTTGCCGTTTCTCGGGCGTTAGTTTGCTGCACAATGGTTGTGAAGACATGGGTTTTGGATGCTGCCCTCCATAAGTACTTAATCGATGGTAGCGGTCCATCGGCAGTCTGGATGTCACACTGGAAGAAGCGCATCTTGATCTCGTCACTGTGTGTAGGGAAGCTTCGTAATAGAACTAGGGTGTACCCAGCAAGTAGGCTGGTCTCGTCAGACATATGGCTAGCAGTTGACGCGGTACTGTCGGTTATGTTAGTGTTATGGTCCGGACAAATGTGGTGTTCAGCGCTTACGAGTCAAATTTGCTTATAAGATCTGCGATACCATCTTCATCGACCAATAATCCTAATTGCTCGGCTACGTAATCAGGCAAGGGAGCAAGATTTCCGGCTTCAGTGTCTTCATCACCGGAATCATACTCGTCAGCCCTTGCTTTTGACCTCGCCCTTATATCAATGGCAAGGGACGACATCTGCAGGTACAGAGCCTCGAGGTATTGTGACCCTTGAGAACCTGGTGTAAACC